TATCCCCATCCCTCCCCTGACTAACTTACTTGTCCTCGCCGAGAACGACACCAAAACCGACATGATCCACTCGAATCACTTTCGGATCATAAATCCCAGCCTCTCGTGAAGCTCCAAAGATCAGTTTAAAATGATCTCCCTTGGATAAATGAAAGGAGAGTAAGGAGTTATTAGTCTGCAAATAACTACAGTAAATCATCCAGAAAGGATATTGAGAAAGCCTTTTGGTGCAATAAGTTTCCCAAGGCTAAGCAATCAAACCTGTTTTCATTTTCTAAGGAAACTTTTCTCACCGATACTCTGTTGAAAGATTTTTTTGTCGTCGTTAAGTTTTTTTTTTTAATTTGGGGGCGGGGGGTTAGGGATAAACTTTACACTGGTACTTTGTCGAGCGCTGTTGATCAAGGTACAATTGTAAAAACGAGAAAAGATTCTTAGCAGAGTTAACACTGTAAGGTTCTTGGAGCCTCATTTAATCGAAACTGTAAAAGCTACGTAACCTCTCATTCTTAGTTTTCATTTCATTACATCGCTTTTGATTGGGTGTCATACATGATACCAAAATCAAAGTAACGGCCAATCAGAATAAAGGAAATAGTCTATCACAGAGAGCCAGTAAGAAGAACCAAACTGTCTGAAGCGCGGGAAAAGCGTAAGCGACTGCGTGGTTGGTGTCTCAGTAGCAGAGACAAGGCCATGCCCTAATCAATGAATTCTAGGAAAATCAATGTAATCCCGGATTCCTTTTTTCAATGAATATAAAAATGGTTTTATGTCGCAACTCCGCACTTTTCAAAAACCCTCACCTGGCCAGCATCAGTGACGTAAATCAGCCAGTCGCCATTCTCATCACGCACTCTCTGCTGCAAGGCCGCCATATCAGATGTATCGTATGTGAATCCACCGTCAGACTTGACGACGGTCAGCGGTACCTTATATCCCTGAACAAAAACGACTTTACGGCCTTCGTCTTCAATTACTTTCCCTGAAAAAAGACATTGTAATACTAGCCTTATCTTCCAAATAAAGTTACGTAGACATCTACCGATTTTGAGAATGGACTACGGTCTAAGGACGGCTAAAAGAAATATCTCTTGTTTGAAACATGTTTCCTAGAAAAAATGTAGCTATGAGCAGACGACTCTGTACAGCACAAGAAGTCACAAACCTTTCCGCTCAAGATCTGCAACAACATTAGGCATCATATCCTGATAAAATGACTCCCCTCTCTCGATTAAAGTGACATCCAGTCGCTCATAAATATTGTCAAACTCTGAAAGAAAAGTTGCGAGTTTACAGCATTGGAACCAGACTGATAAAGCTGATGACGAACGTGTAAGCTTGTATTACGAGACTGTTAGCCTTAGGCAAAAGATAAGTGAAAAAGCCAATAAACAATTTTTCCCTTTTTCATTTTAAGGGTTTTTCTTTCAGTCTTTACCCTTTCACTCCTAGGATCTCGCTGTTAATTCTCTTTACTGTCTGTCATACAGTTCTTACGATGTTAGTATGAAGAATTTGGTAGAGGATACACTTATAATCTCCTAATTGATATTTTTCCTTACTATTATCACTTGTCTGCTTGATATTGTTAAGAGAAATTATTTCTTGGTCATTCATGGGAGTTAAAGGGATGAGTTTATAAAGACATTTCACCTTTCCTAGACTCATCACAAATAAGATTCCAGGCTTTTGTAACGTCTGGTTCACGCCCTTGTAATTCCACAACTCTTTGATAAGCCACCTTCTTAAATGCCTCATCTTCATCAAATCTCTTCTTGGATTCCTGAAATGTAAAATATACATAGGAAGTCTGATGGTGTGGTCTGATTGTCTGTTTTATAGTATTCATAACAAGAACTGGCAAACAACTGGTGAGTAAACTCAGTTTTAGATTGCTTTTCAATTGACTGTTGTAAAACCAAAACCAAAGTACATCACAAAAGGCCGATCAGAAGAAAGGAAATACCTTTAACCCTTTAACTCCTAAGATCTAATTGTTAATTCTCCCTCTAGCTGCTAGACGTTTCCTTGTAAGCAAGTTTCAAGAATTTGTTGTTAGATCAAGATAATAACTTCTGTCTGATAATTTCCATTACCTGTTTGCTAAATAGCCAATGTATATCATTGGGAGAAGTCACATGATAATCACTTTTGTGGGTTCAAGGGTTAAGAGCCAATAAGAACTCAAAGAAAAATCAAAATGCTGGAAAATGCTGGCGACCAAGTCGTGATTGGTTTAAGTTTTGCATCTGATTGGTTGAGAGGGTGGCATGAGTTTCTGGACCAATCAGAGAGCAAATCAAAGCTAACCCAATGCAATCCTGAAAATTGCTCTAATTAGGCAATACAAAACCAGAAAACCTGGCGTACTGGAGGTGCATTGCTATGGTAAATGATGCTGTAGTCACATGGGACAGAAGTGAAATGAAAGTAAACAAAATTGAAGAAATATCATTACAGTCTGGGTGAGAGTATTCCTGGAAAGGAATGTTACTAGTACCAGTGTCTGATGTTTCAACATCCCTGAGCAGAAATCAACAAGAGAGTTAAGTGATGAGTTGTTTATTTGTCTGCCATGTATCTTACAACAGGTATCAGCTAATGATAAATATGCTGTGCAATCTTGGTTAGCATGCTACGAGAAGAAGTCAGAGATATCTGGATGAAAAAGCATAACATACCTTGTAAAAAGCCTGCAGATCACCAATGGGTGGTGAAACTTGCAGATAATTTGGAAACTTGTCCTGGAGATGAGCAATCAACATCCCAAACTGAGTGCCCCAGTCTCCAACGTGATTAAGGCTAAAACACAAATAAAACATGAGGAAAAACTACTAAGTTTTCTTGACCACAAAGAAGATTTCAAATCATTTTGATAGTATGAGTTGGGTTTGGGGCACCCTTATTTGTTGCTGTTTTTGAGGTCATGAAACACTTCCTGTGTCATCTTGGAAACAGCCATGTTGGCAAATTAAGCGTTTAATTAATAAGCTAAGGAATGATGTGAGTTAAGTCAGTCTAACATACTTCAAGTTAAGAGGTAATATGCCATCCTGACATTGCAAGAGTCTATCTTTAGACAAGCAGTAAACAAACCCTTCAGGTCTGATGGAGGAAGTGGGGTGTTCCCACCTCTCTCCCCCCCCCCTTAGGTATTCCTGCTGGCTCTGCCACTCCACTGGGTGCCTAAAGCCCCTTACCTCAGCACACTAAAACAGGTCACCAAAAGACAAAACTAAGCTGCCTGATGTGGCCTTACCGTAGGACATCATGCCCAACAAATTCAAGAAGACGACTCAGGCTTTCTCCAATAATTGTAGACCTTAGATGCCCAACATGCATCTCTTTGGCAATATTTGGTGAGGAGAAGTCAATGACACATCTCTTCTTGACTGGAACAGCAGGAGGTTGTACTCCGTTTGTAAGAATGTCTTTTAGCATTGATGACACAAAGTTATGACTGAGACTTATGTTTATAAAACCAGCTCCAGCCACTTCAACCTATATCAAATAAAAGTTGAAAGAAACAAAACTTTTCCTTTATAATTGCAAGAGAAGATTGATTTTTACCAAGTCTTTCCCTGCATTATTGATCTCACCTTTTGCATGAGATCATTCTGAGGTACATTTGCCACAATTGAAGTAGCAATTTGACGAGGGTTGCTGTTGATCCCCTTGCTTTTGAGTATCTGTGGATGGTAAAGTAAAGTAGCAACAAATAATTTTTATGGACTAAAAAAATCACAGCACTCTTACTATCAAATCATGTTGCTGTCACCATGCACAGGAAATGAAGGCAACTTTCAAGGATTAAATTAGTCATCAATTGCTTCCCTTTGCTCTGAGATTATTCGAGAAAAGTCATACCACCTCTAAACAAATCAGATGCAAAAACTAAAACCAATCACAACCTGTCACCTGTGTTTTCCTGTGATTTAGGCAGTTCGTTTTTTTATTTTGTTTTCTTAATGAGGTCCTCATAACACTTATCCATGTTGTGATTGGCTGTTGTGATATCATTTGTTTCAGTCATACAAAACTCAATCCAAATGTTCTAAATAACTTATTTGACATTTAAATAACTAGCATATTATAGAGTGACAAAAATGACTCTATATTATATCTCAGTTAGAAGGTGCACTATGATTGGTCAGTTCAGCGAGCCATATTTCACCGTGGAGACTGACCACCAATTAAAAAGTTTGTTTGAACTGGAATCTTCCCCCTTTATTTGAACACTGAGGCATAATAAATATCTTATTAACCTGATTTTCTCTGTCTGTACCATAAGTTAAAGAACCTCCCTTTTTCTGCTTATATTTATGACCCATGTGGAAAAAACAAGGTCTGTAACTTACAGTATTGACCTCAAACTTGATTAGTAAAAGGAATTTATACAAGACACCTTGCAATTTGTATCACCTGGTTAATTGCCATGGCACTGTTACACTGGTAATCTCCAAACTTTTCACCCTGAGAGGCCTGTACAAGAACAGGGGCATCTGGTAGTTCAGGAAATGTTTTTGCAATAGCTTTTTTAAACATTTCATTCAGTGTGAACTGGCAGTTAGTCATGATCCTCTTGGAATTGGCTTTCTCTTCCTTGATGCTCTGAGAAAAAAAATTATTCAAAATGAATTACAAAGAACTTCCTAATGACAATAGTTGTCTTGGAGAATTACTGAATGAAAGAAGACTTTCTTACACATAGGTAAATACATTGACGAGTAGATTACTTTGAGATATGAACCCCAGGGTAGGAGACAAACAGCGCAAGGTTTGACAGAGATCTGAGATCTGAGATCTAAAGAAGATCTTCCACTCTGGGTTGATGGGGTGAATGCACTTTTGCATGTAAATAATAGAGCACTCTTTCACTGGGTGCTGCACAAACAAGGGTGACAATCACATGTGAGTTTATATTATTACAACCAGTTTTAGTATTGCATCAATACCAATCACCCTGACGAAGGGCTAACGCTCGAAACGTCAGCTTTTTTATCCTTTACGCTGGCTAATTTACGTTTTCAACTCAGTTGTTAACACTAAATTACTTACTTAGTATTGCATCAGATTGGTTAGGAAGGTGGCACAGTTTATTTTCTTTTTCTTTCTCTAAGGTGCATTGTCATGTTGTCAAGACCAAAGACAAGGAGCATGGCAAAGAGAAACGAATGCAATCTTTTGACTCGACATGGGGAATTTCTTAAAAAAATAAGGAAATGTGTAGTGAAACTGAAAGAGGAAGTTACAATTATTGCACTGATCATGTGTAAAATAGGAATTTTGTTTGATGTCAAATACATTTGGTAAAATTAAACAATTGAAGAGTGATTTGGAGTATCTCTTACACGCTTGAGGGTCTCCACTTGGTATTTAAGCTTGCTGTTCTCAGTAAAAAGCTTCTCCAACTCCGGATCACGTGCACT